GTTGGTACACACTGTCTGTATCACACCACCACACTCGTTCCACCATCAAAAACTTTCCACTAAATTCGGTTCATATTTTTTGGTGCCGGCAGCCTTGTCAGCTTGTCTTGCTGTATCAAGTTCCGAAGCTCGCGGACGTTCATCGCTTCTCTTTGTGTACATTTCTGATCGTATATACGTGACCCTGTCGTCACAGTGACCATGTATGATCTTTTCTAATTTGGGAACAGTGTGCGCTACCGTGAAGCGCATTCGCCAGTGTTTCGCCTCAATCTATCGTTTAATGCCTTCGGGTTCCCAGAAGCAGCCTCTTCGCTGACGGATCTTGAACGCCATTCAACTGCACAATAGCCTCAAAGTCCTGCCAGAAGATCCATATGTCTCTAACAGAAGCTATAGAGCATAGGCTTTTCATTTGTTGGTAGGCAGCGACACCAAATGTAACAGCAGAAGGCAAGACACGGAAGTCAAAGTATATATATCGTATTCTGTTGCTAATACAGTAATGAACTGTGATAATATGTGAGAATCATATTCGTTATGATATTAGATGGTTGGAGGCAATCGAAAGGAAGCCTTGGACCTAGGTTTCATGCTAGTTGGCACTCGTCAGCAAGGCGTGTCTGCAACCTTGAAGGAACTCATGTCCCTTCTGAGATTCGAACCCGAGTCACCCAGTGCTGCAGTCAGAGACGTTACCACTTAGCTATTTGGGCTCGCGATTGACCTCCTGTAGGACAGTGGGGGATATTTTGATTTGACACTAGTAACTAGTGTGATGCGTCTAGTCCTCTCTTTGGTGCAGACTGAATTCTATCAGTCAGGTTGTAATGTGACCACCATTCTAGGTAGCTCGCCATCACGGTATACATTGTTTGTGATGATATTAGATGGTTGGAGGCAATCGGCAGGGAGCCTAGGACCTAGGTCATATCATATTCCGTTGGAACACACTGTCTGTACCATACCACCACAGTTTATATTTTTTCCATATTATGTTGCTCAGCTTATCCATGAACGATCGAAGAGAAATATCTTTTAATTAAAATTTGTATTTTTACCTTTCTTACTTTATCCTGAACTGACACTACTTTATCAATTTATCAGTATAGTGAAAACACAAATGTCAACGAAATCATCCTTAATCACGAATTCTCATCAGCATATATTTTGTTCACAAAATGAAAATATATATATACATATATTGATGTCAGATAAGGATAAAACGGCATTTGATGGCTTTCTAATGTCAAACGAAAGATCCTCATAAGTTGGAATCTTTTCTTCCCTTGGTAATATAAATATTCATTTTTATCCCCAACTGATAATTGCACGCAATCAACTACACACACACACACACACAAACAGACAGATAGACAAACACAGGCGAAGAAACAAAAGTTAACTGATGAGATCCATATAAAATTTATGATTTCTACAGAAATAATGCTGCGGGGGGGGGGGGGAGAAAAGTGCAGACGGAAATCCCGTAAAAAATATTTACTGAACTATTTATTACAAAGTGGATAGCGCGTGAAACGTACTAATGGTAAGTAGAGATGCGCGCTATGTGTGCAGTAAAATATATTGGCTTTATAGACGCTTAATTGTAGCTTCAAATCTATCTCTCTCTACCTAGGTCTGAAGAAATATATATATTTATGTAGTGTACGTTAAAACATAGAGTATAAAAAGAGTGTATTGAGTAGATGGGTAATTTCACTGCTTTGTTTCCGTAATAACGTTGATGAAAGGCGTCAAAGGAAAGGCTTGTTTTTAAATATTTTAGGTACATATTTATGCAGTATATCAACATTTCTCGTTATTGATGAGGCGCTTATTGATGGACAAGGGTATGTCACTCATTTTACATTTTGTAAGCATTTACTGGGGTGTAATCAACAGCTGACACTTTTCTAGTTCATTTGTCTGTCAGCATAGATAAGGATATCAAAACCATAGTTGAAAAGACAAGACAGACTCTCATCATTCTGGAATTAATTTCGAAATTCGCTTTACTTAGCTATAAAGAACGAAAAGTCGGATTTTTAACACCAGTGGTAAGTCGGTCACTGCGTCTATATGAGTCAGAGACCTGGCGTACGCACTTCTAACACGCTAGTGAAGACTTTTATCAACAAGCGCCCACTTCTTTGGCTCTATAGTGAAGATTAGATGACCAGTCAGAGAGAGTTAGAAGCAAGCAACTCTGGAAATGAAATAATCAAGAATCGGTTGCCCAACAAATATGACAATTTAGGAGTGTAAAAAAGGTGCGTAGATAGCATTTTCATCATTTGTACCCGTACGATTGAATAAAAGGGCAGGCAAATGCGTAAATAGTGCTGTCTCAGCCCACTTGGTAGATACTTGACACTAAATAAAACCAGGGCAGGTGTTCTCGGTTATCTACTGTGTTTCCAGTAATCTATCTCGAGCAGCTTGACTGATTCTTCTATCATTAGCTGAAGCGGTAGCAGTCAATACCAGAAGACCTGATCTTTGTATAGTGGGAGAAGTATATCCAGTCGCTATGCTTACTTACCTTGACCTACAATGAGGTCAAGAAATCCTCCATAAATAATGGCACTTTAAATTTCCTTTTTTTCTTCTGCTTTATTAACAAATTTTCATTTCAGACCTTTAACGACTTCATGACCTTTCTTATTATATCAGTAACCTTGGGTTTACTCAATGCCTTTCCAACTTGTTATTATATGTACAAAATCCTGTTCATTTCACTTTTTTTATAAATTCATCATTACCTGATAATCAATCACTATTAGTACTTAAGCGTTTTACGTCGTAATTTCAACAAAGCCTCCAGAGGAGAGGGCGGTACTGAATTCCCAATCCCATTTCCCCCCGAGGTTCAGTATCCCTGCTGAGTAGACAACACCTCAAGGTTGCAGCATGAAAATCAGCACCCCATGCAAGGCAACCCATTAGAGCTCCCGCAGCGGTAGGTGTTTTCCCACCCCCACTGTCCGGTCTCAACCAAACCATGACTGCTTCTCAGATGGTACATACTAGTCCACCTCAGTGGGTCATGACAACTCATACGGTCTGGTCACATAATCGCACTTCCACCTTGCAGGTAGCATACAACCACCGTCTGCGGATTAGGGACAATTCCTTAAATCGACGTAAGGCTGGCAAGAGTATCTAAAATGCTGACAATCCTCTCACCGCTGGCTCCCCTCCGCTCACCAAGACAAGAATGAATGAGGGTTTTACTTTCACTGTTAATGGTACCATCCACCTCATCTCGACCCATGAATCCATTCCACATCCCGAACGACCAGATGTCCAAAATGCTTCCTGGATAGAGACGATAGTCATACACCCCTCTTGGGGCAGTTGTACAAAAATGTTCATTCTGGTCTGAGAGACTGGGTCCCCGGACCGCGGGCGGTTACTCCAACGGCTGCTCTGCTCCCACTAAATCATGGGTGGAACCCTGACGCTTGCGCGCCCGAGCAACTGGACGTTGCCCCCCTACCTGCGCTGTATGACTTCACTGGACGGTTTTAAAGACCTACAACCAGCCGCAGAGACCCACGACCGATCGCAGTCCAACGAAGCCTTAAAGGCCACCATCCACGAGCAAACTAGTCTCGGACATCATCCCCTCGAATGTCATCCGAAGGTTCGAATCAAGCTTCCCCGATGTTATAGAGATACGAGACTCTCCACAACATCCTTCCCGCTCGGTTTTCATGACCAGGCTACCGTTCGCAGTGAATGCCCCAGTGCCCTCTAAAGACGCTTTAGCAGCAGAAAGGATTACAGCCAGAACAGGCCGCGTTCGGCATTCCCAAAGGGCAAAAAATAGTTCACTATTAATACTTTTAAGTTGACACCACATCATCGTTATGATTTCCCCATGATAACTGTTGTTATTTGCCACACTTGAACACACATCTAGTCTTTCCCATTTGTCAGTTTATTTATCTGCAGCACTCATACCATTTAGCCAGTGGGACCTGATTCAGTGGTCAGCACATGAATTTTATTTTTCACCAATTCGTGATTTTAGCGCGACCACCAACCAACGTCATCGGTGGGCTATCCATCCTCACACTTGACTCGATGGACCTCACTGGTCACAACTTCTCACTATAACTCCAGGAAACTCTATCGATGGCATTGGTTGGTGGTCGCGCTAACCGCATCACGAATTGGTAGAAGTTAGAATTCATGTGCTGGCTGGCCACTGAATCGGGTCCCAGTGGCTGAATGGTATACGAGCCAGCTGGCCTTGTAACCGGTAGGTCCTGGGTTTAAATCCTGGTGGTGGATGGTGCGTACTGCCAATGATTCCCAAACTAGGCTGACGAAACAACTGTCCAGTACTCTGGTGCTGGTTTTCAATGCTTCTCTAACTGATATCAATCCGTGGTCACACTCGTAAAAGCAGATCTTATCCTTACAAAGCAACTCTTGAAAATTATCTCATCTCATCTCATGTTCTCATTGACCGTATATATTGCAAACGATAATCGAAACTAACTGACTATCCAAGTGTTGGTTTGTAGGGATTTTACTGATTGGTTACAGGATTTCATCATGAGCTGACATTAGTTAGAGAACCATTGGAAAACCTGGGAGTACTGGACAGCTGTTTCATCCTAGTTCGGGACTCTTCATCAGTGCGCACCCACCTCCACGGTTCCAATCCAGGACCTTCTGGTTACAAGGCGAGCTCGTATACCATTAGGCCAAAGTAGGACGAAACAGCTGTTCAGTAATCCTAGGTTTTCCAGTGGTTCTCTAACTAATGTCAGCTCATGATGAAATCCTGTAACTGACTATCGTTCCATCGCATCTTATACTTTTTCCACTAAAAAACTTTCTGATATTATTCTAATTTGCCTTTCCTCGTTAATGTATGCTAAAGATGACTGGACTTTTAATTGTAGAGTCTGAAGAAGAAGAAGATTAAGAATTTATTGAAAATTAATAACAATTCAATTTAATTATTTCAAAATATGGCTTACCTGTCTAATGCAATAATTCGACCTTCATTAACTGAAGTTAATATCTTCGATATTGATTCATCTATGTAACCCTGTGTGAATCAAGAGAGAAAGGCAAATAAAGAGAGAGAGAGGAATGATAGGATAATCATTATAAGTTAGAGTTTACTGAGTTTTTCTCAGATAAAAGAAAAGCAAGTCTCTTTTTTTATTGTATATATTTTTCCCCATGCATCGACGAGTAAAACATTTGTTGCTGAAAATGTTTCTTTAAAGTCTGCGTCTCTAGTTCTTTTCCTATACTAATAATATAAAATAATTAGTTGTTTTCAGACAGTTTGTATTCAAGAGAAAAATATCATCTCATTATCTAATTAAAAATTGAGGAAAAAAAGTGAATGATCTGCGCTTAACAACAGTGTGATGAATATCATCAGAGTTACTACTGGTTGATTTGAGTAAGTCATTGGATTAAATAAAGCTTGCTAAGTGAGAACTACAGGGTTGGCGAGATACTAATAGGGAACTTTTCATATGAATACACTGAATTATAAAGTGAATGCTACAAAAATGTAGAGTTCAGTGTTTTGTTTTTGTTGTTGTTGTTGAGAAAACCTTCACGGAAATAAATGTCTAACTCTGTCAATAAACTATTATGAGTATAACGAATCTCCCTCTTCTTCTTTTTCTTCTTCGTATTATTATTACTGTTATCCCTAGTTGTATAAGTGTTCTGTCCTGTTTTGCGCAATCATCTTAAGCTGGACACACGGTTGATGGCCTGGCACGAGATGTCACCCAATGGTCTCCTCAGTATATCTCCAATCCATCTCTATTCCCTTTGGCGTATTTATTGAGCAATGGGTTCTTTGATGGTTAGTCGCAAAGTTCCCTGTTGTTTATCCTTTCTGACGAACCATCTGATCTTCCGTATAGAGCCAACGAAGACAGCTGCTGATGAAAGCCTGCATTAGCATGCTAGAAATGCTTTGAGTGACGCGCAGAGTCTCTAAACCCCACTGAATCCCCTTTTTTACGTTGAATACAACAGATTTTCATTACTGGTTTCAGAATAATGAATATCTGTTTTGCGTTTCTCATCCTGGGCATCTCTGATATCCCTTACAAGCCACCTGTGATTGAAACAATGCTGCCTAGATGAAGGGAAAAAACCGACGTCCTTTAAATCTGTCACCTTGATAGTAGTGGTTGATGTTTCTCTTGTTATTTGTGTCTTGTCTAATGTTCACCTGAAGTCTCCTCTCCTGTCAGTCTTCTGGTTTCATCCCTATATATATATAGATCTTCGCATTCGTATGACATTAGACATAAATCATCCAAGAAGTCCGCACCATCGAGGGTCTTCTCATCAAAACTAAGAACACGACTAATTAATCTTTCTCTAACTCTCAATCAATCTGAGAAATGCATTAAAAAAGAAGGCAATTTAGTACCTCGAAAACTGACATATATTCATCATTTTATAAATCAGCATTCAATTTTCGTTAAATATAAAAAAGAGAAGAGAGAATATAAGTAGAATTCCATAAAAAAGTTTAAATCCAGAGATAAAATACCGATTTATTGATAAACTTTTCTTTCCATTTTTTTATTTCATGAAATGTAGGTTTACTTTCAATGGATAGTTGGCTTTTCTGAAATAAAAGATAAGAGTGTTTTTTTTCATATTTCTACTTTTTATATTATCCAGCTTATATGTATAGGATGAGTAACACAGAGAATGTGTAGATTGAACAATCGAATAAAGAAATGGATGAAATTTGTCCTGCATACTGTAATAGGTTATTTTTCTTCTATTCCTTTACGTTCCCTCAGCGGAACATAGGGCTTAAAGTTTCGTTAGCAATGGTGTTTATTCATTTTTACAGGATGGGGTTTCTGCTGGCCTCATGCCTAAACTTCCCTCTTAACCAGTCTTATTACTAGCTTAGCGAGGTGAGGTAAAGGAGTGCATTGGTGGTCCGGGATCGAACCCCAGACCACATCCGTGGTTGGTTACAGTACAAATTGATAGGATGGACATTCGAAAGATCCGTAGCCAACACAGGCACCTGTTCCCTTACGGGTCAGGGAATAATTGCATGTATTAGCTCTAGAAGTACTGCAGTTATCCATGTAATATATATGATATAAGGAACCATAGTTGATTTAATGAGCCATTCGCGGTTTCACCGTTTCAAGGTATGTATTTAGACATGGCTTAATCTCTGAGACAAGCATATGACAGGCACTGGCAAGATCAGCCAGTTTATTCACATAATGGTACACCCATTGACTGGGTATTAGTTTTCAGTAGAATCGAACGCACTCATACCCGTCTCTCGAGAGACGAGACTGGTAAGCAGTATCATCCTGTGGCGCAGCCACTCGAGGGCCCTCTCCCTCGGTTGATCATTTGCACCGTTAGTATGCACAATAATGCATAGGTTAGCATTATAACGCCGATCAATGATCAAGTCAATCAATTATGCACTGCACAGACAAGCCCAATAGAACTCATCTCGCATACAAGACCAGCCAAACGTTTTATTATAGGCAAGAGTAGCACGTGTAGTGACGCTATAGGGATCTTAGACCCCTGTAAACGAAGCCAGCAGCCACCAAATTCAATGAAATCGTTATCCTTGTCAACCAGTTTAGCATGCAAATAGCGTGTATGCGTCTACCAAGACTGTAGAACACCATACACAGTCATACAAGCGAGCTATGAGAATAGTATAACTCACAATCGTATCGTCTATATAGCTTATGCTATGTTTACTTAAGGTTATTTATTCTGCACAAACAAGTATCTGCTTTTCAGTTTTACATCCCTTTACTTTCCGAGTGAAGCATAGGGCTTCATCTTTAGCATTTGAAGTTCAAGTACTGATAGTGGATTTCGCGAGATGAGGTTGCTGACCTCATCCCGAATTTTCCATCTTTACTACGCTAACTATCGGCTAAGCTAGGTTTAGGAGTGTGGCATCAACCAGGGAATCGAATCCTGACTACGTGCGTGGTTCTCAAGCATTCTACCACTAAACCACTGAAACAAAAGAAACAGTAATGTAAGTGAAGAACTCGGGCGCTGTGGTAGAATGTAATTCCATATTAGATAAGTTTATTTTTAAATATTACACAGTAAGTGATGTAGTATTAATAACAGGATGACGTTTCGAGGGTAAATTATTGCCCATAATCATATCAATTTAGTCATACAGTTTCACAATTTCTCTTACAAATATATTTTCTCTGTTTCTGTTTATCTTCCCTTTTATTGTTTGTTGCCACTTTCCATATTTCCAGTATAGGCGTTGAGTCATTCCAATTACACCTGTGCGGTGTTGAATCGATAAACACAGCTTCAGTGATTAACCGTTCTCTCTTTCTCTCCACCTAATTATATTACTTTTTAATACACTCACCCTGTTCCACCCAACCTATTGTGTGATTACATGCAAGTGAATGCAGTGCAATAGCTGAGCTTTTTTCTAGGTTATTCAACTTAGCAAGAAAAATTATTCAAGGTTTAGCTAAATTTTTCATGTTCCAATAATCTAACTGACCCCAATTTACTAGTTTGACCTATGTAATTGACCTCACTAGCAGTCACTACCTGCTATTTTGTAAATTATATCATTTCTCTTAACTGAATCTATTGGGTTCTTAAGCCGCAAAAAGAAACAGGCATATGCTGAATTAGTTTTACCCGAGCGTAAGCACACGCAACAAGTTGATTCTACTAACATGAGGTAATGAAAGCTAATGTGAAGTCGTGGAAGCAGTCAGAAAAGACTGCACAGAAGAAGGTTAAGGAAAAATGTTCTGCTGAAACTTTATTTTCTACTCGAAACCGAAGGAAACAAAATAGTAGTACTAATAATAATAATAACAGTAAAGAGCTTAGCTACATGAAACAGATAGCTTATATACTAAGCAATAAACCACCATTATTATTTGGAAGGTGACGGCACTGAGCAGTTGCTCCGAGTGAATTAAGCGGAGGGAGTGTTAAAATCACCGACCTGCTGTCTGAAATCCCAGTGGTTTAGCCAGTGAGCTCAGTGATGTCATGTCTCTCACTGCAGCGTTGGGTAATGACTCGGGTTCGAATCTCAGAAGGGATATGGGTTCCTTCAAGCTTATTGGAGATACGCCCTGATGACGAGTGTTAAATAGCACGAAACCAAGGTGCGAGGCTTCCGCCCGATCGACTCTAGTCATCTAAAATCAATAAATCTTAGTGCAGTATTATAGAGGGCCACCTAATGGCATGGTGGCCACATTGGAAACTTGACTGAGAGAATTCAGTCTGCACCAAACAAAGGACTCGACACCTTGCACCGCTTACTGACTAGTGTCCAATCAAAGGATATATATATAAATATATATATTAGAAAATAATTTCAAATAATTTAATAACAAGTGAAATTCGCAAACACGTTTGAGCGACTTCAAGTTTTTTTCTATAAAACTGATTACAGTTAGCCTGTATCACAGGCCCTTTTAACTTGTTTTTATTTCAGAGATTGACGTATTGTTCACACTTATGGAAGAGATTCTTGAAAACTTAACTTGGGGTAACAAGTAATATTTGTAGAAGATTATTACGCCATGCCGTTGAATAAATGGAAGAGATGTCAGAATGTTCAAGATGTTTTGTATGCTTATGCACCACTTTTATGAATAAGAGGTTTTCAATGAAGCATGATTATGGTCATAAAAATTCGTGTGGTTGGACCAAAATATGATGTCAGTCAATAATTATTATTATATTTATTATTATTCCTTCAAGTAGCGAGTGGAACATAGGGGCCTCATCAACACATCTCCATTTCATCCCGTTATCTGAAGTCCTCTTTACCTGGCTCCATGATTGCCTCCACAAGATCTCCTCTACGCCATCTAAAATTGACGCCAAACTCGTCATTTCTCGTTCGGGTTCTACTCGAGTGATAATCTGGTGCGTGATATCATACAACGATCTCCCCAGTATGTGTCTTTAATCCATCTCCAGTTTCTTCGACATTTTTTTTCACCTATGGGCTTTTCGACAATCTACTGGCAGATTTTTCTGTTGTCACTCCTTTCTGTCCATCTGATATTCAGTATAAAGAAACTGAAGGCGTCTGTAGATAAAAGTCTTCAAATAGCCTGTTCGAAATTCTTTTAATGACATAGACGTCAAGTCCATATACCATATTGATCCACCAAATTTCCCTATTTATGCTGACTGCAGCAGATTTCTACATTGATTTCAGATTGAGATGAAGGCCTGTTTCACCTTTTCTATTCTGGTTTCGACACTCTCATCCGTGCCTGTCACCTCTAGTTAAAATGATACTGCTTAGATAAGTGACAATGAAGACCTTCTTTTAAATTCCTTGCATTGATAGTGATTGTTGACTGTTAGGTATGTTCATCTCCACTGTCTTCTCTATGTTCACATGAAGTTCTGTTTTCTCGAACAATCTCTTCTTCCAACTTTTTGATTCATTACTCCATAGCATACTTTTAGTGTTAACTATTGTTCTTATTATTATCATAATCATCACCTAGAATTGATTTTAGCCACTTTGTTTGTTAAGATTTGAGATTGTGTTACCTTTTTCTTTCTTTTTGTACACAGAATGCGACTACTTATACTAGTAATAAGTAGTCCTAGGTAGTGGGATGGAGTAACTATGAAACTTTTTCTTATACAGATAGATTGAAATCATCTGTCATTAGTTATGCTGTCATATATACGTCCAAATGGAAAAAAGTTTCTTTTTTCGGATGAAATGACATTTTAAGAAAAGCGGAATTCTCCTTTTATGGTGAATTTATACATATATTATTAAAGGTCATCTATAAATAGACGATAGTTAGGCAGTATGCACCTGATATTCACCGCTCTACACGTCATCTTCAGAAATACAAAAGCTGAAGAAATAAAAGAATGCAAAATTGTTTTTCTTCTTTCAAGAGGAAAACAATTTAAATTTTAACATATCATGCTTTTCTTGCTTATTTCTTTAGAAATACAAGTATTAGTTTATTTGGGAATTGATTGATTTCGATTTCGATTAGTGACTGACATCAGTTAGAGAACTACTGAAAACCCCTGTTTCATCCTTGTTTTAGACTCTTCAGCGGTAATCACTCAACGTTACCAAAGACTTAACCCAGGACCTCCAAGTTTTGAGGTGAGTTGATTGAGCACTTAGTCAGTAGTATGAAAGTTCTAGGTTCGACACTTGGTGAAGCAGTGGTGTGAATATGTGCACTAGTGGTGTAGATAGTCATCGATTCAGGCGTTCGTCATCAGTCCTCAGTCGACTGTTTCCTCTCTTCCACCCTTTTGGTCACCGGGTTTCCATCTCTACCTTTCATCGGCTTCATCTACATCGACGTTGTCTCCAATGAAGACCCGGTTATTTGATATGGTGTTTTGAGGTATGTTTCGCCCGTAGGCTGTTCCGCTTCAAATGTCATAGTTTTATAACATAAGAGAGGGAGTCGTTTTTCTTCAATTCTTAATTTGCGAGGATTTGACTAATTAAACTATTCATCGCGAACTGTCTTCACTACATGAACCATTGGAAACCATAGAGTACTGTACAGATGTTTCCTGCTTGTTTGGGACTCTTCGACAGCACTAACTCTTGACCCGATCAGGGATCAGACCTATAGCCATTAAATTTCTGTTGTTTCCTCTTTTTATGTGTACTGGTGTTTCACCAGCCAGCCAATCAGCCATTTAGGGCAGGTGGTTAGTCATTTAGTGCCAGTAGGTACAAGTTTTTGTGATCAGAAGGCTCTGAAATTTGTTTGTAGACGTCTCGCCATCCTACTAGGTAACATTTCCAGCCTCATCTTTTTTGTCTGTTATCGGATATAAAAATACTAACATCGGGATGTTTTCAGTTCTTCTCCATCACATCAAAAGCAAATATAATTCAAATTTATGGTCCATTTATTAGTGAATAAATATTGCATACAGGTAAGTGACATATTCGTCAAAAGGATGAGTGAATTTGCTTAGGAGTGAGTAGTCGTTATTTAAGAAATTTGTGCTACTGTAGAAACATTAGTCTGAGTGTACCTTTTCATGTTCTGTTTCTCTTTTGTTTCAAGTTGTCAGATAGTAATGAAAAATATCCAAATGCTAAATAACTAAACGACTAACAAAATGAGACTAGCCGAAGTAGTAAAACCATGTTATATTCAGGTACTGGCGGTTGTCATTATAACAATGGGAAACAAGATCGTTCGAATCAATTCATTAGTGAGTTTGTCAGCAACCCCACAAAAGACTACTCATGAAGTTGGAAAGTCTTGGTATCAAAGGCAGCTTACTAAACTGGCTCAGGGAATTCCTCATAGATATGAGGCAGAGGGTTAAAATAAACTCGAAACTCTCCTCTTGGACAGCAGTACGCAGCGGAGTGCCACAAGGCACGGTACTCGGACCTCTCCTATTTATTTTGTATATCAACCAGTTGTCTCTGCTCACCGACTCCCCTATGGTCCTATACGCAGATGACTTAAAAATTTGGAGAGATCTGAAGGGCAACAGTGACACGTCCACGTTGCAAGAGGACCACAGCAAATTTTCAGAGTGGTCCATAGAATGGATGCTCCCGATAAATGTGGCAAAATGTGGAACCATGCGCATTGGACAAGCAAGCACGAGCTCCTACGAACTCGAGGGAATTACACCTCCATCAGTTCAGACTCACTTGGACTTAGAGGTCATAGTTAGCCACGACTTGAAAATTACAGCACACTGTCGCGCGGTGGCTGCACGTAGTTTCAGGTCATTATAGGCAATTCGTAGAGCCTTCACTAGAATCACCAGAGATGTGTTCACCTCCTTATATACATCTCTGGTGAGGTCAACACTGGAAAACTGCATCCAGGCCGCCAGTCCTTGTCTAAAAGGGGACTCACTTATTCTAGAAATGGTTCAAAGGAAGGCAACACGTATGGTTCTCGGAATGACTAATTTATCATATGACGAAAGACTAGACAGTTTAAATCTCTTCTCACTGTCATACCGTAGGCAGAGAGGAGATTTAATCACAATGTTTAAAATTTTAAATAATGACTACGGACCTGACCTATTCTCTATTGTCCTTCCTACAAGGTCAGAACACCTTAGAGGACATAGCAGGAGAGTTCAAAAGCCGAGAAGAAATCATATAGCTGTTGAGTACTGGTTCTCACTCCGAGTCATAAACTCTTGGAACCGACTCCAAGAAGAAGTGGTGTCTGCAAACTCAACTGATTCGTTCAAGAAGAGTTTGGAAAACCCCAAAAATTTACTAGAAAAGGATTAACATAGGCTCCAAGCTTTCTATCCTCAACCAATAAATCTGAATCTGAATTAAAAGTGCTGTATATGTATGAGTTCATGAGGAAATAAATAGAAATTTTAGGTTGTCAACCAGTTTCCACCAAAATTCTTGAATTTCTAGGCAAAATGACATAATTAGGTGAATCACATTTGCTCTGGAAATCTTATCTTTTGTTCACGAGAACATCTATCAGTGTGATTAAATAAAGGTGTTGTAAAATTCATCAACAGTTCAATATTAGTCCAGAGAGGCAACAAAGCTAACATTCAAGAGTCTTTCAGTATAATCTAGATACTGAATAATCCAAACAGCAGAGGCCATTCCAATTGGCCTAAGTCAACCGGAGCTGTGAATGCAAAAGAAACAGGTTCAGCCGGCAACCATTGCTGCCCACACCTCCTGTCCAACCTATAAATTCACTCATAAATTTAGCGTGTTACTTCCCTTGAATTATCTGATATTCAATCAGTTTATCCTTATATATTAATGCATATTATTCTCTCTCTCTCTCTGTAAAGGAACGTGAACATTGAACGTTGGTTCATTGTCCTTGGTCGCCATTGGCGGGCAACTCGAAGGCGCGAATGGTTCAATCGTGTACAAGTTGGAAGAAGACGAAAGGATATGAATAAAAGTACAATACATTCTTCGTAAAACATTTGTTGATAGACTTTTGTGCGATAAAGAATTTAACTGCGGAACAATACAAGTTTTTATTGGTCCTTGTGTTTTGTGTGTGCTAAAGTCAATAATCGGTCGATTCGAGGCGTCTTCGCAAATAATAAGAACTTAGGGTTAAATTCCTTGACACTCTCTTTTACTGATACTTTTCAAATGTGTAGTCCATCAACACTAACTATTGATTCAGTGTAATCTAAAAGAGCATTAGTGTTGTTATTAAGATTATTTCTTCAGTTATCCACGTCATAAAAATGTAGGACCTGGGGATGAAGAAGAGGTTATCAAAAATTTGAACATTCTTTGTCCACTAATCAGTCCTTTAAATTTTAGCGGACCTCTTTAGTATTTGTATATATATATTTTTAGAAGAGGTGCTTCGATGATTCAGCAGGAGAAATGCTCATCAGCCATTCACATAGTTCAGGATTCGATTCCTGAGATTAGAAACCTCACCCTGGATAAGCAGCAGTTCTACTGAAGCCCCAAAGCTTAAGCTTGAAGCCCATTACTCCACTCGAAATGTGAAGGAATAAAATATTAAGAAAAATTAAAAAAAAATTTTCAGAAAAATATGTGTAGATAGGTTCACAAAATAACTGAATAAATCAAAATGTATGACACAGTACTGCTTCAAATAAATGTAATGACGCAAACTCAATTATTTCTGTTTGTGTTCTTCTGTATAGCTTGCTAAAGTTCCTTGAGTTATGCACAGTCCATTAATTTTTTATTCAAAGAATATAGATATCAAAAGTAGCCTTTGACGAGACAGACTATGTGGTATTGTTCATCAACGGTAGTAACTTTCCAACAAAATCACAAAGCTACATTACACACCCGTTCCCGTCTGGCAGCACCGTCACAGAACAGCAAACAGAAGCATTAAAACTAGGGATTTATCAAGAACACAGAGTTTATAATATTTCACCAGACACCATAGCACAAAGTACTTTATTGATAAAAGAGGGAATAAAAAAATAACTTACTGAACCCCAATTCAAAGCTCTAGCCAAATCATTTCCTGTGCCTAATGGTAAGACAGCAACTGGTGGAACTGTACTAAACGTCATAGAGTCTATTGTAGAAAATATCCAGCCGACTGTACCATCACCACCGCATACCAGTATCCGCAGATTTGGGACATGATTGAATAATTCTAAGCTTTTATATTTAAAAACAAAACACAACAAAAAAAAAACAGAAATACAAAATTGTTCAACAAAGATAATAAAGATTCACTTGTAGTTGAGTGAACTGACTGTCAGATATTATTATTGTTATTGTTATGTACATCTCTCAGTTCACCTGAACTTGCAGAGCAAAATACATTGGCATAGAATCCATTCCAAGAGGATATCAGTGGACATTCTAACATGCTTTTATCAGGGGAAAAAGAAGGATGAGTGAAACATTCTAATTTGTAGAACACTTAATCAGTTTCTGTCATCCACTTAAGCTTGACAATGATTTCAAGATCATCTTTATCAAATTTACGCAGACCTGCCATATTTCCTTTCGTTTCAAACCTTTAAACTGGCCAGACTAAAGAATAATGACCATGGAGTGCGAATGCACCAATGCCTTTGAATGCATAACATTCGTTGAACTAAAAACCCTGTTGTTACTACAGCTACACTATGAACGCTGTGCACGAATTGATGTGGAATTTTCATTCTTACCTTGTTATTAAGTACTGTTTGGACAATAACTCCATTATAGATACAACTTTATTTTGATAAAGTCACACAGTGTTATTATACTAATGACGTTTCAAGCATAAATTATTGCTGCTCATAATCATATCAAGGCACCGTTCACACAACTTTCTGGCTTCATTTATTTACATGAGTAAACATTGATGATTAGACATTTGAATAAAATCAATATAAGATAAGGTACATTCGGAAATAATAATATTAGAGTTATCAATCAAATACAATCAGATGGGAAATAAAATGTTTTTATAGTAAAATAAATAAATAACTCATAAGAATGTTCTAATGTGAATTAATGGAATACATTTTAACATTATTTATTATCCTCCTCTGATTTGACTGGTAGTAATAATATCTTCCATATCGCTGGTATTTGCGTTGAGTTACTTCTATTGCATGTGTAGGGTGTAGACTTGGTGAACTAGGCAGGACTCACTAATCAATCTCTCTCTATCTCCGCCTACCTATATTACTTTTTAGAATTTTGACTCTGTCCCACCCACCCTATTGTGTGGTTGTGTGTTAATGCAGGCAGTGCAATTGCTGAGCCTTTTTCTAAATTACTTATCTTCGTGAGATCAATCATTCTTACCTTAGCTAAATTCTTATGTCCTGATAATCTCACTACTCCTGACCCACCACTGGTTTGACCTATGTAATTGACTTACCTCGCAATCTATGCAAGGAATTTTGTAAATTATATTATTTTATTTTATTGGGTCAAACGAGTCCTTTAGCCCACAGAGCTTGTCCTATCTGAGTGAGTTTGTAGGAGGGTTTGAATGCTACCCGAATTTCTGATTGATTAAGAATTCTACGTTGAGTCTCAGATGTCCCCTCCTTATACGGTAATGCTGTAGATGATTTATATTCTTTCCTATTTATGTTATCATTATCAGTTTCACTTTTATTTCAATTTTGATCCTCTTTTAATATTCTTGATGAATTTTATAGGATAGCTATTTAACACCAACGCTTCTTCTATCTGTTTGGACAATGGTTTGATAGCACGCTGAGGTTAGTATAAGTAATATAGTTGTGGTTAAGATTAAGATGAGAGTGTTTTATTATCATTATTTGTATTTCCCTTGTAAGAAGGAGATTATTTCGTTGTTCATATAGATGAAACCGTTTTGATATCTATGAAACTTGAAAAATGATACCCTTCATTGCAAATCAGATTAATATTTCAGTTACAACAAGGTAAAATATTTTCTTCACTATTTTAAAGTTAATTTTTCTGTTAAATAAACCGCTTTTTGATGTGGAACACTCGGCGGTAGGTTATGCAATCCAACAAAGGTTAACCAAATCTTTGTGTACAGAAAAGAAGTAGTTTCCACAGATCCTGCTTCGACTTAAGGCTTGTTAGAATAGAAATTAGCGATATAAGAACATTTTCATTTTTGTAATGTTTGAGCGTTAGCTTAACAAACTTTTCACTCTGTTACGTAATACTTTATTTGCCTAATAACCCACTGATTTTAGCCCCTCCCTTCTCTGATTCCAAGTTCTTTACATTGTATAAATAAATTATTGTATAGATTAGAAAATAAAGCTGTTTTATCACTTGATAGTGAACTGGGATTATAATCACGAACATTGTATCGTAATTCACATTAGTATTTTTATAAGTAATCACACTTATTGTTTAAATTTCCTCAAGGGATATGGCATTTAAAAAAAATTATGTATATATATACAATGGTACAGCCTGATAATAAATTCCTTTATCAGAGTCTTATTGCTGAATACTATGTTTGGAAATGCGATTAAGTCAACTTTTTCATTCCTTTGCGTACTGAGTTGAAGTTTCAGTAGCGGGTTACGGTTGCTAATCCCACAAGACGAATCCTGACCTGTCGTGTGGCTGCGGAGTATTTAAAGCGCAATTCGATATCATGCATACATCGTTAAATCTGATTTTTATGTTGAATTTGAAGAAAATATGAATTTCTTTGAATTCAAAGTGAATTTCATCATGAATGAATATAATTAATAGTCACGGAGCCACTGAAAGATCCAAGAAGCAGGCAACAGTTTAAAAAATTATTGCCAAAATGTGGATATACAACTCCGTCAGAAACTAAGGTCAACACTGTTAGGTTATAAGTCAGTGAGGAGACGGTCAATGCCCAGTCAGGAAATAAATCAATCAGAAGTATTATTATTATTCCCTTGGGTTCCCAGTTAAATATAGGACTTCAACAACACATCTTCACTTTCTTCTATTCTCTGCTGTCTTTTTCAGCCATCTCCTCCTCTCTAACACACCATCTCCTTTTTGACACCCTCTCACCGACGACCCACTCGTCATTTCCCATCAGGATTCCACTCGAGTGATGGCCTGCATTGAGCACGATTTCATCTGACGATTTCCTCAATGTATGCCCGATCTATCTCCAATTTATCATGATTATTTTTACTCAGAATTGGCCTGCATAAAATAACGCCTACTGTTTTATTGATCATGATTTCAAACTAATTGACATATCTCTGGCGATTTTTTGAATTGTACACTACTGCATGAAATATACTTCCCGTCTCAAGTCCATTGTGTGCTCTTGCTTAATACAACAGTTTGTGGAAACAGGTATCTGTCGTATAATGTCTATGGCGTAGTCAAGCTCCATAGACGTCATCACTGCGTCTGTGTCCAACTCACTATCCTTATTTAAGTGTCAACGTATTATGAAACATAAGAGTAAGTCAGTCAGTCAGCTGTCTAGTGAATGGTTAATTTTCCTGCATTCTTTTGCATTTCTAGTGAAATTTTCGCTGAAGTTTCTGAGTAATGATGGTGGAAGTCACTAGTCTTACATCCAACCTCCTCTCTATCCTGCTATTAGCTAAGCGAAGTATACGACTGCATCGGCAGAGAACCAAGCCCCAGATCACGTATTGGCGTAACTGACGAATATTCTACCAAGCACAACTATCAACGTCTAATTCATCATCCACCTGTATATTAATTAATATAACACATTCAGAAGAAAGGCAAATAAGAGAAGCAAATAAAAAAAAGAGAGAAAAAGACAAAACAATTCAAATGATTCTAAATGTTTGGACTATCCATGATATCCGCCTACTGTCTACTTGCTGTTGTTTTTTGTCTAGTCATTCACCGAAAAGCAGAAAAAAAACACCCATATAGACAGACGCAGGAGGCGTTAACTCATTACAAACATTTAAAATGACTGACTGGTATTCTATTAGTTGCCCTTTTTTTCGTAGACAATAGTTACTAATCTATACATATATATATATATATCCCTAATGTATCGTGCATATATCAAAATAATAGATAATGCGTAGTAGTAGTGAAAGCCATGTCGACATATCCATATATTGAAAGAGCCTACAACATTCAGGCCTATTATTACTATTATTATTACTAATACTACTACTAATGAAATGTGAATACATACATGCATATATGTGTGTAGGTGATATGTTTGTTTCAATGATAGGCATATGGTTTTATTTTATCGTTGTGTTTATATAACACACTCTTCTAATATAGAGAAGAGATATATCTGATTGTCTGCTTGGCATGTGATTATAACGGCACATATATATATTACATGTGAATAGGGCGTGGTTCAACATGAACACGGTGATAACAGACGCATATATATATCAGTAGGTATAATGATATAATTCTATTAAATTTAATGATATAAATATATTAATTTTTTTCCTAAACGACAAGCCTTTTTATATCTAAAAGTGAAATAATGCTGTAACCTAATATGTGATAATGAGTATATATATATATGTACATATCCTCAAATAAAGGTATATTATCCTAATTAAAAGAGGGACATAGCCAACAAGAACTCAGGACTGATGATGATGATAAATTTAGCTGAATTTGTTTAAATTTATCACCTTAGTATTTCTGTTTTGCCAATTTATTTCAATAAGAAAAAAAATCAAAAAAAAAACAAACAAACAAAATGAAACGGAGACGAAGAATGAAATTGATATGATGAGTTAAGCAATAAGGGGAAAATTATTCTGAGCAGGTGAAACTTGCGTTTGAAAAAGTGTACGAGTGTGTGTTATGTGTCTATATATTCAGAGATTGTAGCAATGACATAATTTGTATACAAATGCTGCTCGTCAGTTCTTTAATACTGGATCAGGTCTCAGTGTCTGAACGGTAGGTAGTATGTTAGCTTGCTTTGTACCTGGAAGGTCAGGATTTTGAACCACTGAAGAGTCCCAAACAAGGACGAAACGGATGTCTAGTAATCTCGGTAGGCAATCAAACATTTGATGATAATGTTTTGCAATTAATAGTGTTCTCTGAGCTGGTTGGTTTAGTTGCGGAGCTTTCGTCGTCCTTCTGGATAACATCTTCAACACAATATTTAGCATAAAGTGAAATGATTTATATTTCTTCATGAGTGATATAATTGCGTCTCCTGGTAACTATCTTTA